AATTAATTAATTAATTTCAACTAATATGAATTACTATTATTTACATTTAGTAATAATTAATTTTTATTTTTATTTTTAATAAATAATAATTGATATTAGTGAGGGTTATAATTGAAAAAAGTGACAAAAAGCTCCTCACAAGCTATTTCAACTAGCATTTCAATAAGTTAGCTTATGTCAATCCAAATGTGTATCCAAAAAATAAATTAGCTTATGAGATAGTTTATGGCTGCAAAATAGAGCTGGCTAAAAATGACCCAACTCGGCAACCTAACCCAAAATTAACAAGTTTGGTTGAGATTTTCAACCCATTTAAGTAAATGAGAAACTCGTCTAACCCATTTAAATAAGTGGGTTGGTTGTATTGAAATTTCTGACCTGTTTACGACCTATTTTCAACTCTTTATGTAATTTTTTAATTAAATATGATTATTTAATTATAATATCTAATATTATCTATTTTTATTTTTCAACCTGTTTTTGTGTCTCTTCTTTTCGTTTGTGAAATGTGAAAATGAAACTGCAAAACCCTAATAATCAACTTGTCTGCCTCCAAGGCTCTAAAACAACAATCTCTTTCTCTGGTCTTTGCCTTTCATCTCTCTCTCGTCTGCCTCCCACGCTTAGATTTCAATCGGTGCGGTGGTACGGAATCAGTGGAACTCACTGATTTCTTCTCACTATTTTGGCCCCAATCGCAAAGAGTAACTAGTAAGTTTATTATTTGGTTCTTAGTTTTGATTGTTTTATTTTCTAGTGATTCATTTCCTTTTATAATGTGATTCATTCCCTTTTCCATACGTTTCTTTTGGAACGATATAATGATGCTTGGGCGTAGGTCATATTGTTGGCTATGTCGACCTAAGATATGTGTTTTGCTTTAGAACTGTTGTTGCTTGGTGTTATTGTTTCCATGCTTACGTGAACACGTTGCGGTTATGATCTTTATCTCTCTTCTGCTTATGATTATAGTAATTAAATAATTATTTTCCCAAAAAGTTGCGTGCTTTGAGAATCAATTAAGTATACTTTGAAATGATTATTTTCATTTTGGAAAACAAATCTAAAACATTAACGGGATGAAGTCTCTACCTCTTTTCTTTTGTGTTCTATTACTGTATTTACTAGGGGTTGTTTATCAAACGCTTACTCAAGTAAGTGAATATCAAGTCATATTACTTTACCAGATGGATATGGTAAGGATCAAAAACCTTACCCGGTAAGAGCGAGACAAAGACCAAAAGTCTTACCCGGTAAGTGAGGGCGACGACTCTTACCATGGTAAACACTTACTGGGTAAATTGTTGCAATATAATACCGTTTTAGTGGACTAAAATCTTACTCGGTAAGTAAATGATAATGTTAAACTTTACCGGTAAGCGCTTACCAAGTAAGTGTTTGATAAACCGCCCCTTATTTTCACAAACAAATTGTTTATAACTTAAATGAGTCAATTTAGGTTGTGTTTTATTGATAAAATTAAGTAGTCTAATTTTTTTATTTAAAAAATTTAAATTAAATGAGTCAATTTAGGTTCAACCAATTTTTTTAACAGTTTGGATTGAGAAAATTATAAACAAGTTAACCCGTTGTCAACCAATTTAGGTAATATATTGGATTAGGTTGAAAAATCTCAACCCATTGAATCAAATGAGTTGGGTTGGATTGAGTTGAGATTTTCAACATGTTTAATAAATGTGTTGAATTCGAACCTAATTCAACCTAACTCATTGCCACCCCTACCGCCAAACAATGCTTAAATTGGTACCAACTTATTTGATACTAATCACATGTAATCGATTCATAGCAAGTGTGCAAATTTGTTTGGTACATGGTATAGAAAGTCCCATACAATGGTAGTACCATGATATTGACTTATTTAATTATTATTTACTAATTTCATATTTTGTATATATTAAATATCAAATATTATAACTTTAATTATTTTATTTGAACATTTAAATGTTTGCAAAGTTGTTCCTTGCAATTTAAAACACTTAAACATCACATGTATTTCCTCAAAATTCAAAATGTCACTCAAAATTTGAAGACAATGACAAGTTTTCATATATGTAACGTAAAGTTGGTACAAAATCAATACCAACCAAAAAAAATGTTGGTACCGGATAAGTTGAAACCAAATACAATTGATTGGGATAAGGTATGAGATTTTGCATAACAATTATAATCGGTTCAAACGCAAGCTTATTCAATTACTTTTTACTATTTAGAAAACCCTTTTATATTTTTATAATTAATTATAATTTTATATATAATTAATATCTTATTATTATTATTATTATTTTTTATTGACTTT